TCCAGAGGTGCTTGTTGTTTCCTCTGGAGGCAGGGCACTCTTGCAGCATGCGGTGATGAGGAGAGAGCCAGGTTCAGATTCACCTGGATGACCGCATGGATAATGGCTCCCCTTCTTCCTGGCCCAGGCCTTTTTAAAACCTCCCTGACCTCAGCAGCCGGTCCAATCGAAGCTGCCAATACTGGCTACAAACCGTCCAATCTGCAAAGCATCCCTGGCTACCTGGGCCCGCGCGCAGGGCCGGGTCTTCCCCCCCCTGCCCAGGTGACCAGAGCATCGCCTCCCAGGCGCCAGGCTTTTGTCTGCAGACAAGGAGCGAGATCCCTGCTGTGAGAGATTCAACAGCAGCCTCTCGGGCTGGCTGAGACAGATCTCTGGAGAGGGGCACCGACGCGGCATTTCTGCCACACAGATCATTTGACTTTTTGCTAAACACGCTGCAGAGGTAAACTCAATGTCACAAATGAAAGCTGGTCTCATTCACCTTCCCAGGCCTGTTCTGTGATGCTCTAAGCAGCGTCCAGGAAAGAGCAAGCTGGATCATTTATAACAAGTTTTTAATAGTCCTTTCATCCAGACACATCTGGAAGACAATGAGCCCCAGATGAATATACACATTGGGACGGTCTGCACAGGGGCGATGCTGCTTTAGGCAGGGGTTGGACTAGATGTGACCCCAGAGGTCCCTTCCAGCCCCACTTCTCCATGACACTGTGACTGGTCTGGGTAAAGCCAGGCTGCTGCGGCCAGGTGCTGCGGGGCACTGCTGTAGGGTCAGCACTGTCGTACGGATGCCAGCTCTGATTGCTGGTACGGTGCAGAAAACAGCCAGCTGTTCCCCAGCCCCTTCATCTCCCCAGAGTGAGGCTTTTTCAAGCGGAGCATCGCTGCCTTGTGAGCTCAGCATCTGGATCTCACAAGTCCTCAGGGGTGGAGACAGGGCCTGGGTGGGCATGTGGGAGGGGCATGATGTCCCCATGGTGGGGGAAGTCATGCCCAGCCTTGGGGCAGCCTCCCCATGGCTGGTGATGGGGGTAGACTTCCCCCCTGTGTTGTCCCAGGGGTCCCTTGATCCCGTTCCTGTCTCACTCCCCTCTTCTCCCAGCCCAAGAAGGCCGTGCTGGAGGTCAAGTTCTGGCAGCTGGACGACTGGCCCATGCAGCAGGAGCTCCCGCCATGCCCGGACACCATCATCAGCTTGCTGGGGGAAGTGGAGAGGTGCCAGCGCAAGGACCAGGACAGCCACGTGCTTGTCACCTGCTGGTGAGCGAGGGCTCTGGAAGGGCCCAGATCCCATCACTTCCCACCCCAGGCCCTGCAGGTGGCCACAAGGAGACCCCTCAGGTGAGCCCCAGCCCCCGTGACCTATCCTGCTGCTTCCCTCCTCAGGGACGGTGCCAGCCGGTGCGGGCTCTTCTGCGCCGCCGGCTTCCTGTGCGAGCAGATCCGCAGCGAGGCGCTGGTGGACGTGTCCCAGGCCGTCAGGATGCTGAAACGGCAGGGGCGGCAGCTGGTCAAGGACGTGGTAAGTGCTTGTCCCCCACCAAGGCCCCAGTGCTTCAGCCACACCGCCCCAGGCCTTTCCTCCCGGGAGCAGCAGCATCTGCAGGGAGAGGGAAATAGCTCCTCTTAAGGGCTCTGGGGAAACGAGGTCTGTGGCTTATGGGACACATGGGTATGATGGTGCCAGGGTCACTGTGCACAGCCCAAGTGCTGTGGCCTACTCCCAGCCTGGCAAGAGGCAAAGCCCTGAGCCCATAGGTCTACGCAGAGTTGTGGATCCATGGCAGGGGGCTGGAGGAGTCTCCGTGTCTGGAGGAGCAAGGCCAGGCTGGCAGCCCTGGAGGAGCTGTGCCTGGGTGATGGGGGTCTCACCCATGCTCCTCTCCCTGCAGAATCAGTACGAGTTTTGCTACAAGCTCGCCCTCAGCTACCTGGACTCCTTTAAGATCTACGGGAACTTCAAGTAGCGGTCGCCTGGGGCCAGGACCTGTTGTTGCTGCTTCTTCTGACAACTCTCAGTCAGCACCGGGGACCATGGACCCCACCAGGAGCCCTTCCACCTCTGTGCTGTGCCCACAAATGGACTGGGAGACTTGTGCTTTGTCCATCTGAAAACGAGGGCAGTATCAGACCTGGAGCTGCAGCTAACGTGGGGGGAACGGGGCAGCCAGGCTCGCTGCTCCAGCCCCAGAGACCAGAAGGGAACTCTCCCCACCGCCTGCAAGCAGGACAGGAAGCGGGGCTACCTGCCTGCCCCGGAGATGGGGGAACACAGCACCCTCCTGCAGTCCACGCTCTCTGTCTGGCTGGGCAGGAGCCTAGGACATGGGGGCATTTCCCTGCTCAGTTGTGTCCTCTCTTACTTCACTTCCACCCTGTTATTTCTGGCCTACCCCTGCCGGCAAGCTTGTGCCGGCTCCTGGATACGGCACTGCCAGACCCTCTCCTCCGTGAAGCAGCCGGTGCCTGGGGGGTGGCAGACACCGCGCGGGGCAGGCTCGGCTGGCACCGCACCAAGACTCTAAGTGAACTCAACACTAGGACGGGCCCAGGATGCTCTATGCTGCACCAGTAAAATCTTTTAATTGGTACCGTGTGGTGGGCCAGTAGGGGGCGCTCCTGCGTTGAGCCGCCCACCTCCCTGCGCCCGCCCACCTTCCCGGCTCCGAGTGCCTCCCTGGGGTGCCTCCCGTCCGGCCGACCCCTTCCC